TCTTACTTTTGTATTGAAGAAACCAGCAAAAGAGATAAATCTATTAAGAGATAGAAGTGAAAATGGAAAGGTGAGATAGAAGAGAAAGAAGAGTGGAGGAAAGAGGAAGTAAAAGAGAAAGAAGGGAAACAGAGAGAGAAGCGAAAAGGAGAGAGAAGAAAAAATAACTAAGGTAAAAGTAATAGAGAGAAAAAGAAAGAGAAATCAAAGTAAACACAAAGAAAGGAAATGGAAAGAAAAAAAGAGAGAAGAAACAGATACTTGAGAAAAGCAATGAGAAATAAAAGAATGAATGGAAAGAAAAAGAGAAAGCAGAAAAGGAATGAGAAGAAAGAGAGAAGGAAGTGGAAAGCAATAAGAAGAAAAGAGAAATGGCTTAAGGAATGTGAAGAAATGGAAAGAGAAAGAATCGAAAGAAAAAAGAAAGAAGAGTTAAAAAGTGAAAAGAAAAGTAGGGGAAATGAATGAGAAGAAAACGAGAGAGGAAAGAAAAAGGAAAAGATGAACAAAGCAATATAAAGAAGTGAATGAAAAGAAAAAGATTAAGAAGAAAAAGGGATAGAGGAAAAAAGGAGTGAGAAGTAAAAGAGAGAAACCTATTAAGAGACAAGTGAAAATGAAAAGGTGAAATAGAAGAGAAAGAAGAGTAGAGGAATGTGAAGTAAAAGAGAAAGAAAAAAGGGAAACAAAAACAGAGAGAGAAGAGAAAAGGAGTGAAAAGAAAAAATAGATAACAAAGGTAAAAGTAAAATAAACCATATCTAAAAAGCTTGTGTAAATGGCTGGTTGAACAGAGATTAGAACAGAATGAATAGGATGTTGTGATGAGCCATGATCGCCTGAAGGGATGCCACACATAGAAAAAAAAGAAGAAACAAAAATGAAATTATTCATGACTCAACCTAATATACTCTCTATAATTTTAATATGGTTTTCATTGATCCCCCTTACTCTGTCAGTGAGTTAATGACTGTCAAGTATTCTACTGAATCAAAGGCCTTTTCATAGTAAACTAAAGCCAAACAAAACAGTTTATTAGATTCCAGTTGCTTTTATCAGTTGGTCTATTGTTTGCAGATAGTCTATTGTTGAATAACCAAATAATTTCATGTAGCCGGCTACAAAAATAGGAGCATTGCCTCTGACAAAGCTTTTATCAGATGATGACCCCTGAGGTCAGGTGTAACTTCAAGGCTGAAATAACTAACCTAACCAATTGCAATATTACCAGACATTATTGGTTTTTTTTTTCCCTACACCAGTTACAACTTCCACCCATTATTGATGACTTATAAAAGAAATTGTCTGCAAAATAGACACAAAATAAAACCAAATCTTAAAACTATCAGATTCAATGTGAAATAATCTGTGGGGTTGACGTGCCGGTAAAATAATCTAAATCTAAAATCCACCCATTATTGAAACTACTTTATATATATATTCACTTTTCTTTTTAGACAACTGAAGCATAGTTAGGTATGTTGAAAGCCAGGTTTGTGATAAAAAGCTTGACATCACACTTCAATAGGAAATATATTCATTATCCAGCCATATCCTGTACATTCTTCTTACAGATCATCATATTTTACTCCTGAGCCTATTCTAATATTTTCCTGAAAACAAATCATTAATTCAATATAAACATTTTTATATTATTCACATATATAAAATGCAATATTTATTCGTATATAGATATTGTCACATTTTATTATGCATGTCAATGTTTTCCCAATGGAATTGATATTTAAACTACTAATTTTTTTTTCTTTCAGTATATACTTACATTTATTTCTAAGGAAGTAATGGATTTTTTTTTATTAATCTGACAGATTTTATTACTTAAACGTTATTTTTAGTGGATATCTATATTTGAGCCGGTGCTCCATTTATTTATTTATTAAACAGTCTACTGGCCTGAATATTCAGTAAATCTTATTAAAGAAAAATATACACTTTCCGGCAGGATTCGAACTCATGTCCCTCTTCATGCAAATTTTAGGTTATAATATCTATCCTGATTACAAATGTTCATAATAAGTTGTTTGGGAGGGGGTCAGGTTTGGTTATACAATCACTAGGTGTAGCATAATTTTTTTAATTTATAAATAAATCCATTGACTCTCTCTGTCTCTCTATCTTTCTTTTGTATATATATATATATATATATATGTATGTATAAGTGCACAGGTATGCAGAAAATAGAAAAGAACACGTTTGGTGCATAATCCGGAGTTTCTTAGTATTTTGTTTTTATTTTTAAGAAGACAGTGCTCCATACATAAGTAGAGCTTTATTATGTCATCCACATACAGGTCTGTTTTGTTATATCACAACTTATCAGTGCAGCTAGACATCCAAATGTTTCAAGTTGTGATTGAAACCCAACCAGTTTGGCATCAGTTGGAGTTTCTACCCCTGAGCTATCAGTGCATGGCAGAGGAAATGAAAAATTCTAGCATATTATTTTTTACAAATGTAAACAAATGCCAGACAGCCATAGTGCTCAATTCATTTTCAGTGAAGAGTGTTGCGTTAGCAGAGATGGCTGCTGTTTAGAATTTCCCTATTTTTCAACAGTGCTCAACCAAAATTTTTAGAGAGCATAATAATGTCATCCATATATATATATATATATATATATATATAATTAAAACATTATCGCATATTTGTAAATAAATTATTATTACTTCACATATCTTTTGTCTATGAGCTTATTAACATTTCTATTGCTTTCACATTATATACAGTAGTGTTTATTACTTCCCTTCTTTCTTTATATGTACCATGTCCTTTCAGGATGTAGGCGATCATGGCTTTCTACCTCCCTCTATCCCTTGCAACTCTCAACAAGTTCCTTCCCTCTGCTACCTTCCCCAGACCACGTTCTGTCAACCACTTGCTTAAGCCTGCTAGGTATATCATGCATTGTTTTCCTTTGTCTCTCTTTCCCTCTATTCAACCTGTGAGTATCAGATTCTCCAGGCCCTCCTTTCTCATTACATGCCCCAGAAACTTCAGCTGCCTCTTCCTGATGCTAAGTATAAGCCTTCTCATTGTTTGCATCCTCTCTAAGACCTCATTGTTGATCACACACTCAGTCCATAATATCCTTAGCATCCTACTGTAGAATCATGTAGATCTTATTTGCTTGAATATTGTTTTCTAGTCTTACATGCATTTCTTTTTAATGATGGATCGCAAGTTTTCAGTGGAAACAGGATGAGCTGTAACTGAGCTGTACTAACAAAAAAAAAAGAACAAGATGAGATAACCCTAAACATGAACAGCACTGCAGAACAAGAACAATCTAACCTCCGTAGATTAAATAAAGAGTTCAGTTTGAAATTCTCTGAAGTCTACCCAGATCAACAGAAGCTTGAAGAAGGCCAAAGGGCACATCAGCTGAAATGTGATAACAACAAAGATGAGGACATTAGACCAAATTATTGTAATTATTTCAGAAAAAAGGTATATTTATTATATGAATGTAGGTATATCCTGAATGCTTTATCATGCTGCGTAATATCAGTTTTATTATAAAAATGTGTAAATACTGATATAACATGTGCATATAGTAGGTATACAGTAATTATTAAATTAATCCTAGAACAACTATTATCCTGGTATAATACTTACTGTATACCTAATTTTGCAACCACCCTATATATATATATATATATATATATATATATATATATATATATATATTTTTTGTTAAATATGACAGACAAGGAAAATTTTATTAATTTTTTTTATTTAGTTTTTCCAGCGTTCATAAATAAAATTCCACAATTACTCAAAGGCAAATAAAACGCTACTTACTTTATTATTCAGTATGTATTAAACAAGAAAATTCAGAGTAACTTTGCTTTTTTTCATATTTTATAAATACAATCGATTTGCAAAATTATATAAATACCAACATCATTTTTTGAAGATACAAATAAAATATTTATTATAGTGTTGAAAAGTCAATATCAATAAATGATGAAACACGATTCATATGTGAGTCTATATATTTGCAGTATTGTATTGTAATTCACATGAGGATTTAACAAGAAAACAGTGATAGACTCAAGCATAACAACTTACATACACTCACATGAAAATGCACGTTATACATTGACATACATGCACATATGCCCATCCTATTACAAGAATTCAGTACTTCAATTTCAACTCATGCACAAAAACAATTTTATACAAAAAAGTACAAACATTAATTTTGGTATTTAAATGCATGTTTTCTCCCAACACACATGCATCCCACCGACACAACATCTTAGCTTAAACTCTTGCATACAGAGATTTTTATAGAAATTTATATACTTTAAATGTTCATGCATACAAGAACAAGCACAGATAAATACATACAGATATCTGCTAATACATGCATATATAAACATCTATTAACACACACAAACATATATCAATGTATGCATATATACAGACAAATATGTATTAATACACCAATAAACCCTCTCTAATATATACACATTGAATAATATATATATAAGCATATAATAATACATACATATAAGTATACACTAATATGAATACACAAACATGCACTAATATGCACAGATGCAGGGATACACAACACCACCATATAATCATAGCCATGTGTAGTGCATTGTGCATGGATGATCTAGCATTTTATGTCTTTTAAGCTTATTAGTTGAAAGATGGAAAAATATCATTTGAAATGAAATCTTCGTAACCCTTACAGTTCCAGTTTTCTGGTCGAGCACAATTTCAGATCAATAAGTTTGTTAGCGCTTTTGATAGGAAAGCTGGAATTTCGATTATAGGCTTTTGGTGGCTCAACTCTAATTACGATATTTTAGAGGTCCTTTTTTCTTTGTTTTTAATTCTCATTTTTATTATTTTTATTTTTAGATTTAGATGCAAAACTGGCAACTTCATTTCCTGGTTTAAAGATGTTCATTACTTTAAATAACGACGTCTCAATTCAATTAAGAATTCAGTTAGTGGCTTGATTAGAAGAAGCGATCCTGCATGATGGAAGACGCTACATGCTGTGTGAGAGAGAGAAGAGGAAGAAATAGTACAAGCAGGCAGAGAGAGAGAGAGAGAGGATGAAAAAGCGAAATAGAAAAAAAAGAGTAAAGAGTGTTAAGACACAAAGTGAAATAAAGAAAAAAGAGAATAGTGTAAGGAGAGTTAGGAGAACAAAAAGCAGAAAGTGTGAGAAAAAAAAGAAAAGAGAGATGAGGACTAGAAAGTAAAAGTAAGTGAAAAAAGAAAGGTAAAAAGTGTAAAGGAAAGAATAGTGTAGAGAGGAGTTGGGAGAACAGGAAAAAGCAGAAAGTGTGAGAATGGAGATAGAGAAAGAAAATTGAAAGAGAAATAAAAAGAGAGATGAGGACTAGAAAGTATATATAATATAAAGAGAGAAAGGTGAAAAGGAGAAAAGGAGATAAAAGAAAGGAAAAACAGAATGGAATAAAGTGAAAGAAAAAAAAGAGAGATGAGGACTAGAAAGTATATAAAAATAAAAACAGTAAGGAAAGAAAAAAGTGTAGAAAAAAGGAAAGAATAGGAAAAGTTGGGAGAAGGAAAAAGCAGAAAAGTGTGTGAGAATGGAGAGAATGGAGAGATGATATATATAATATAAAAGAAAAAAAGAAAAACAGAAAATTGAAAGAGAAATAGTGTAAAAAAGAAAAGATGAGGACTAAAAAATAAAAGAGAAACTAGTATATATAATATAAAGAGAGAGGGGGGTATAAAAAGAAAAACAGTAAGTGAAAGAAAGAAAGGTGAAAAGTAGAGAAAAAGGAAAGAATAGTGTAGAGAGGAGTTGGGAGAACAGGAAAAAAGCAGAAAAAGAGAATGGAATAGAAAAGAAAAATTGAAAAAAGAGATGAGGAAATATAAAAGAGAAAGAAAAAGAAAAACAGTGAAAGAAAAGGTGAAAAGTAGAAAAAAGGAAAATATATAAAATAAAAATTGAAAGAGAAATAAAAAGAGAGATGAGGACTAGAAAGTATATATAATATAAAGAGAGAGGAGGGTATAAAAAGAAAAACAGTAAGTGAAAGAAAAAGATAAAGGATGAAAGGAAAAGAAGATAAGAGAGAATCAGATTGTGAATTAGAGAGGCACACAAACATACAAAGTTGGACAGAATAGAAAATGGAATTTGCGAAAGATAAAATCAGGATCAGCTGGAATTATTTCATGACCGTTTTTGTATAGACGAGTGTAGGTTTATATCCTACCAAATTGTTATTTGTTTTTATGCCAACATTTCAACATATAATTACTCTTTGACATTGGAATTTCAAGCCAAGATCTTTGTAAAACTTACATTGTCTTAAATCTTCTGAAGCAAATAAGATCAACATTTTTTTTCTGAAGACAATTGTTAGGAGAGGTTAGTTTAGTATTTTTAAGTTATTATCCATTATTGAATGATGTTTGTTTCTAACATATAAGGCATACCTTTTTTTCGGGGGATAAATTACCCCCTCGCAAAATTACCTTGCATTTTAGATCTTAATGATTGCATTGCAATTACTTGACTAATATCTGACTGTTTGATTGACACATTTGTTCCTTGAAATGAAATATGTGATTATAAATAATTGAATTATAAATACAAATAAAAACTAAAGTAATATTAAAATAGGAAACTACATATATATATATATATATATATATATATATATAGAGAGAGAGAGAGAAAACAAACAGGTTTAGAATCCAGTTCGTTAGTATTTACTTTTTAAAAAAAAAGGTGCTCAAGACAATGTAGAGCATAATATTTTTTAATAATAGTTTTATTTAAAATATTTTACATTGCGACACGGAAATTTCTATGTTTCTGGACTTATCCCATCATCAGGCAATGTTCAGTAGTTCAAACTATCTTGAAGGGGCCTTACAAATTCTCACTTCTTTTTAATATTTGTAAGTCCTTAAATGACCCATGTCCCCTGTGTCTACATGAAAAGCTACATGGTATTAAGTTTCCTAAAAATAATGCTCTATTAAATCAGCGTAATGAACTAAATGTAATTTGTAGACATTGTATAAAGTTTACCTTAAATATAGCTAATAGAATTTTTCATAAAAATCTATGTATTACAATTATATATCTATTATTTTATTATATATAATGGTACATGTAATATTAATTTAATTCCTTGATTTTTTTTAACTTTAAATATTGCCTTGTATTAAGGCCCATTGAATAAGATAAGTATTGTCTTTTAGGTTCAAAATTAATCATACTAGAGGCCCCTTCAAGATAGTTCTTAAGTATATATAAAATACTTTTAAAAAACAAAAATTAACCTATTGTTATTTATATATATATATATATATATATTGGATTATTTCATCATATCTTAAAAATATATTCTTAACCAGATGTATAGTGTTGGATCTTAATATGACAGTTCCTTGAGACGTGTAAATACCACACACGCCCCTAACATCTAACCTATATTTTTTAATTTTTCTGCTTTAGCTTTGACCTGTCTTTTCATTGGTCAACAGTGACATACCCATAAGATTTTAAAATTGTGATCCCCACCTCCTTTCTAACTCTTTTATAAATAAATGTATTGTTTTCTATTTTCCAAGGTAAATCATTGTCATCAAAACTTACCGAACATTTCCCGATGATGGGATAAGTCCTGAAACATAGAAACTTGATAAAAACAAAATTTTATCATCAAAATGTTTATGTTATTATTAAGAGGAAAGACCAAAGATTAAATATTTTAATCCTTTCTATCATATTTGAAATTTTGGTTAAATATCTTGTTTTTTGCATCAGTGGGTGGGCCAAAGATTAGAATGGGAAATTTAGCATCTTTTCCATGGTAAAAAAAAAAAACACACAACAAAAAATAATTAAGAAAATAATATTAATGCTCTGCCATTTTAGCATTGAGCTCTTGTTCTCCTGTATGTCTTTTTCGCATACTCTTTTAGGAGTTGCTTACTTTGTGCATTTACTTATATATATATATATATATATATATATATATGTATGTAATACTGAACAATAGTAATAATGAATAGATGTTATAACATTGATTAGTTTTATTTTATATGTAATAATTTCTTTTAAGAAATATACATAGAAAAATAAAATTATAAGCTGATAAATTGTATATAGTGTTTTTCTTTTTAAAACAAAATGTCTTTTGAATCAATTCTAATGCTTTTTTCTTATTTTTTTAAAATTAATTCTTTATTAACAGATTGCAACATCTATCAGAGAGATGAAATTTAAATTTTTATTATTGCATTATTCCAAAATTTTAACACATCAGCAGATAGCTGTTAATGTCAGCAATTGATATTAATTAAAAAACAATTAGTAATTAATGCATATTATCCATAACTACATGTACAAGAATGTTGTTTTTGATAAAAGTTAAAAAATAACCATAAATACATAAAAATGCATATATTGTTGAAAATACCTTTTTCCACAATATAACTATTTGTGCCATGTTATAATGTTTATTACCTAAATAATAATAATAGTGAATAAGTTTTTTTAAAACATTAAATTATATTTAATCACATCTCCCTAATAGCTGTCATCATAATCTGTAAATTTTCTAATTTCAGATAATAATCCCTTGTTTTCTA